CCCCCTCATCGCTCTCGCCAGCATGTCAGGCAAAAATTGTCCCTATTCNGTTAAAGATGACGTCACACAGCACAAAAGACATTGTGTTGGAGAAACTAAAACCTAAAAATTAGAACAATTCGCGTAAACCAGAGTTTGATCAGACCTGCGCAGGAAGATACGAAACAGTCGAATTGCGCTAAGGGCCTCGGGAAGGTGCCAATTTTGAGCACCTGTACATAAAATTACCAAATGAAACAGAGGCAAAAAATTGCCTAGTTCAACATCTAGGTATGTGGATGTTTGGCAGCGTGACATTAAACAGGAGGTTTGCATCATTGTGATGGCAAATGGATCGACCAGAAATGCAGCTTGCCCAAGAGAGCAAAACTTGGTGGGGCCATGCCTACGCGATCATATGACTCGGACATAGCACACGTAATTGGTTAAAAACAGCAGCAGTAAGGTCAGAAGGCACGCACGAGATAGAGGTATTTTAAGGTTTCACTCAAGAAAAAGCTCTCCATACGGTCTTCCTGAGTCATATCCTCAACGTTGTGAATTGTTGCGAAGCCACACCTAAATATACGAGAAAAAAATATGTGGTTTAGTAGGTAGTATGCGAAATTAGGAAATTCCAACTATACCTTTGACTAGTGAAAATACTTTTCAAGAAACTCCAACTGAAAACTCAAGTTACTGCTCCGGAAATGACGGTTGGTTAGAGTTGTTACGGCACGCTCTGATCGTCACATATCTAAATTGGCTGGACTTTGGTCAGTGCCGAAGCCCTAATATCAACTGCTCGAAGGGGAATGCAGATCACTAATCTAACGGCATTGCATCAACGCATATTTAACAACATTTAGAAAAGGTTTAAAAGAGAAACGGGAACAGAATGTAGTCGGACAAACAAAGTAGCCTACTTTGCACGAGTATAATGATCCAAATTATTGACTATCATGGCTCCAATCTGAAGATAAACGGGATCCTTAGTTGCTCGATAGAGGTAGTACGTGGATTCAGCAAATTCCGGACGGAGAGGGTAAAAGGCAAGTTCTGACTTGTTTAGAAGAAGGTTAAAGCGCTCAGGAGGTAAACCAAAACGCCGCCATATTGATAAATGAAGCTCGTGTTGGCATTTGGCATCCCGAAGTTCCCCAGCCAGCGTCTATAGTGAAAAAACTCAACTACAGTGGATCCTCTCCAGACTTGAAAAGTTTAAGCTTGATTAGTGTTATCAAATTCCTCAAATCATTTTGCAACATAATAAAGGATACTATCAGCTTAAGTATGTAATTACGTTTCAATAATCACTGAGTTGACAGAAGCTGCACTAAACATGTATTGATAAGGCATTTGGTATTCAATGCAAAATTGGACCGACCAGGCATAAATGGAGGATATACTTGATGTACAAGACAGTTTTGAGACAAAATCAAATGATT